ACTACACATACCCCCCCTCGTTCCCCACCTCACCCCCTCTAGTCCTACAATACCTCACCCCACCCACCCATCCCCCCTTCCCGTCCCCCCTTCCCGTCCCCCCTCCCATTCTCTCATGCTGTGCAAAGTAATGTCCTCTTAAATAATGTACGTGATAAAGCGTTGTGAGAGGTACGGCGGTGACAGATCTATCCATTAGGGAATGGAACGCTAAAGTAGACGCAATTAAGACCTTGAAGGAGATCCACGCCTCTATCTCTCACAAATATCCACTCTTCAAAGAGGTTTTGGAACTGTGGGTGAGATTTAGGACAGAATCATAATTTGCCTTCCAAGCCTACCATGCCCTTGTCGGCTAAACTCACACTCTAACGGGCCCTGAGCTATACAGGTACACATCCTTCCCCTTCACTCTCCCTCACTCCACAGGCCTGTTCCTTTCGCCTGCTCTTTGGACTCTGGAGCCGGGTCTCTACTCTATACCTTTTGTTTACTGTCCCCTGTCCCTTATCCTATACATATGTTGTTCACCCACTGATTTATGTTGATATGACTATACTTTACCAATAAACCAACTGACCCCACCACAACAACACCAGCTGAATTCTACCCTAAAACAATACCCCTATTACACATTCGCACCTCAAGCTATCCACGATGTCTCATACGTTGTGATTCACACTCCAGACCATCTATGAACTTCAGGGGTATGAAAATTGGTTGAGCACCGGAGGTACCACCCGTGATGTGATATATTGTTTTACTGTGTATCGATGTCTGATTCCTCGCTGTTATATGTAACAGATAACAAAAATTTATTACTCAACCATCTGTCATGGTATTATTCTGTATATCCTTTTATTCAAATAAAATTCAAAAAAAGAAAGCAGTGCACAATTTTGAGAAAAATATTTGACATGTAATGACAACTGAATCACAGGACGAGGCAGGAGATGTTCGTCATGACCGTTTTCCTCACGGTATTCTTCTAATGATTGGGGTCTAATTGGCAAGTCGAAGGGATGTGATCTCACATTCGGCTACAATCTCTGCTCACAAGAATAATACTGAACAGACGGCAGTGTCACACAGACACATTTCCTGTCTCTTCTCTTGCACCTACACCACCATTGATAGATAGTAATGTATTGTGGAAGGTCTTGTGACTTTGGGTTAACTTACAACAAACAATACAGACGGTGCCAGTCAAAACCAAAAACAAGCTCCCAGAAAAAAGGGTCATTAGGAAAGAAATGGAGGACAGATGGAGACACTTGGGGGATACTTACATGTTACACACAAGCTCATTACACAGAAGGCCAAAATGATTGCCCAGGATTGCTGTATCTGCCTTGCAGAGGGAATTTGCAAAGCATTTTGGATGTGGCCTGCCCTTGTTGGTGGGATCAATCTGATAAAAGGGTATTAGTTTATCTGTAAAGGCACAAGTGAGCAAGATTATTTTTCAGACAGACTTGAACTAACCGAAGGGCAAGCTATTGAGGTTCTCAGACTGCTCATATTCTCTGGGTTTTTTTGCAGACCGACTTTTACTTTTGTCAATGTTTCAGTTATAATTTTAAACCCAAAACAAAAACAGTGAGTGCAGGGGGGTTAGTACCACACATATACATATACATATATATATATATATATATATATATATATATATATATATATATATATATATATATATATATATATATACATATATATA